CTCATAGTCTGGAATCATAAATCTCTAACTCTACAAAAAGGAAAAACTAAGCCCTCAAAGCCATTTTGTTACTTTTGTTCCAGATGAACCACATGGTAGCAAAAAGATAGGGGAGGAGTTTTTTTTTTGTGCTTATTATTGTGGATGCCACGCCACAGCCAGATCTCATTTACCAGAAAACCAACCATAATCCAGCTCAAGCCAAGGAACTCAAAAGCTGTGCACCATAAGCAGAAGGAAAAAGTCCGGACATCTCAAATGCAAAAGGATTGTTGATAGTGGAAGCCAACTATTCATTTTTTCTTGTAATGATTTACTTACTATTTGGTTTTGTATATCAATGTTGATTAGATCTATGATTTTCATGGAGATTTGATTGTATCAGCTCAAAGTTTTCCTGAAATTGTTTCTTCCTATTTGCATATTCCATGGTTAGTATGTCAATTCAATTTTTACTGATATTTTTCACAATCAAAGTTTTCCTGAAAATGTTTCTTGCTGTTATCTCTAGTAGCAGATTTCTGCTGCACATATTTAGATGAGTTGCTTACAAGATGTTCTAGAGTGTTGGCGCTGTGTTTAGACTTACCCTGTCCGAATTTGTGTTCAAAATGCAGATTCACTATGAGACTACTGGTCCAGAAATTTGGGAAGACGCAAATGGTAAGGTGGATATTTTTGTTGCCGGCATTGGAACTGGTGGAACCATTTCTGGAGTTGGTCAGTACCTTAAAGAGAAAAATCCTAAAATAAAGGTAGTTATTATGCAATATGAAGCATCTATTCCTTATTCAAGCTGTTACAGTTGCAGTCTCTCATCATTTTCATTTTTCTTTCTTATGTATCAGGTTATTGGTGTAGAACCTACAGAAAGCAACATTCTTTCTGGTGGAAAACCTGGTGAGACAACTTTTTCTTCCTGAAGTAATTTAATATTACTCTTCAAGTCTTGTATTAACTTTTCGTAATTTTTTGTATTTCATTATTTATATAAAAAAAAATGCAGGTCCTCACAAGATTCAGGGCATTGGAGCTGGTTTTGTACCAGAGAATTTGAACGAGGACATTGTTGATGAAGTCATAGAGGTATGGGTATACTTCTCCCTCATCCTTTTTCTTGTCTATGATCTTCTGTTACTAGGGACTAGTCAGCATTCCTTAGCGAATTTGTAGAGGAATTAGCACTCATAGAACCCCGTTTAGCAGTACAAATTTTGGTTGATGAATTTATTAATAACACTTGTGTAGTTGGTTAGTGAAGTTTTTGGTTTAATTTAGACCTCTTACATGCATTACACGATATTTAAGTACTGGTTCTCGTAGCATATAAGTTTTTAAGAGGAAAGACATCACTTAAACCTAGTTTTGCCTAAGCAGGAATGGTCCTGACCTTCCCTTTTTTCATGAAGCACGCACTCTGTAGTTTTGTCTAAGGTCCTAAACTTCCCTTTTTGCATGAAGAGGGCACTCCCATATCACAAAGTTGACTTTTATTTTGGTTAATTAAGATTTGAGTCTATGGAAAAGAAAGGTTTTATTACTGCATTCATTTTCTATTCCTTTTTCCTTTCCATTTTTTTGGCAGTTGGTGGTCCTGGGGTTTTTCTAATCTTACCATGGTATGTCCTATTAAAATTGTTCATTGTATCTCTTGTTTCACATTTTTTAGGTTATCGATAGCCTACAGCCCATGTATGCTTAAATTCTTGAAAAAGTCATGCTGACCTCTTTGTAATGATTATGAACTAGATTCTGATGGATAATTAAATGTTTGTTTGTGAGTTTACTTGTTTTGGCAATCACAATAATGATAGGTGTATTTGGTGTTTGTTTGAAACAGCTAAACTGAAACAAATTGGGCTCTTGGTATTGTTTGTCAATGCCATGATTTGGTTTCCGTTATTGTATATGATTGTCCATGCTATTCTATTTTCCTAAACATACCTCATAAATTGATCCCTATTTTTTCTCCGGCACTAACTTAAACATCTTTAATCTAAAATTGAAGGATCAATTATCATTATTTGTTTAATACGTCGCTGCCTATTTGCTTAAATTCCTTCTTGCAACTGTTACCCTGTGTTGCTTTTTTTTTTCACATGTATTAATTTTCACTTGTTAACTTTTTTCCAGATATCCAGTGATGAAGCTGTTGAAACTGCAAAGCAATTAGCTCTCCAGGAAGGCTTGTTGGTCAGTGATCTTTATTTAGCTTTAACATGCATTTTGAAGGTTGGATTGAAATCAGAAGTGGAATTGAAAGAAATGCTTTCCTTTGAAGGCGATGCATAAACACAACTCTTCGGATAGGGTCACTAAAAATATTAGTTGTAAGAGAGAAAGGGAAATTCAAGTATATCTCCTTTCTTAATCAACCACCATCTTTTTGGTTTACCAAAGAACCTACAAATATATTCTGTCACACTTTTGTTCGCTTATTTACTTTCGTATAAAAAAAAAAAAAAAAAAAGAACCAAGTTTTCTTTATTTGAAGAAACACTAATTGCTGTAGTCTACAAAAGGGTAGAACTATTTAGCTCTTCTTCTTATATGATGTTCGTATGACACACTTTCAGGTTGGCATATCTTCCGGAGCGGCAGCTGCTGCTGCAATGAAGGTTGGAAAGAGACCCGAGAATGCTGGGAAGCTTATTGCAGTAAGTGCTTTTCTTATTACAGAACAATATATTTGCTGTATTTTAAGTTTTCCTGTGCTTGAATTTAGGGCATATTACAAGATGCTAAGATAGGTTCATAAGTGAAAAAGTGGGATTTAGTGAATTATAGTTTCGTCCATTTTAAGCATATTAGAAGAACAACAACGGATCAGGGTGGAGGAGGTTGGCTTTATCACTAAAATTGCCTCAACTGAATCAAAACCAATTCAGGTTGAACTTGACTGGTTCTAACTGTCCTACTGTCAAATGCTTTTTTTTTTCCATCTTTTCTTGGGGGTGGGAAACAGAATATGGTGGGGTGGAGCAGGGTAGTGGGAGCGCATTTATCTGAGGGTGTGGCCTACTTGGTTGATGCTCTGAGCTTGACACTTTTCTCTTGTGTCTGCACCGGTGAAGATTGGACTGTTTTTAACTTTTGATTATAGTAGATTCATCCTGATCTGATTGTATATAGCAAGAAATATGGCAGTTGTGACCATATGCATTCAGATCAGCTGCTTCAACCGTGGTTGGTTGTTGACACTGGTCAAAGCAGAAATACCTTGTGAGGTGCTGGCATTTTGGCTGGTTGGGATGGGTAATAGTAAGTGTGGCTGTCATGTTTGGTGTGTTCCATCAGCTTGTTTATTGAAAAGGGAAGCCATTTTAGATTATGTTTCCATGGATTCCTTTATTAGAAAATTCCACTGAGTTCTCCCACCTAGTTCCTAAAGTTGGATAAATGAGTACTCAGTATGGCATTTTCATTGATGGCACTCTGGATGACCAATAAAATCCATGGAGTAAATTTTTTATCAATATATTAATAAAAATATTTACAAGATCAATCTGTACCGTTGTACAAGACAATTTCTCGGTACAATTAAGTTTTTCCTTGAAATTTTTTCAAATTTGTTTTGCTCTCCATTATAAGCTGCCCTATTCATTCTGTATAATCAAGAATACTCCTTTGGCAATAATTGTTAGCGGAAAATCGGGAAAACTAATTTGAGAATTTTGAATGCTTTTTAGGTTGTTTTTCCTAGCTTTGGAGAACGGTATCTCTCATCTGTTCTTTTCCAGTCAATTCGAGAAGAATGCGAAAAAATGCAGCCTGAGCTTTGATGATTTTCTTTAAATAAATTGTTTGTTAACTAAGAAGCATGTCTTTTTTGTTTCCCGACGTGCATTTGAAGAACATTTTCTTCATCATTTGCTGGGCATAATAAGATTTGCTGCTCCACAGTTCCTCGTGCACTAGAAACCACTTATTTGAAGATGAAGTTCTGTAGTAATCTCAATTTATGTTTTCCTCTGGATGTGCTGACATCTCCTGTTTAGATATATGCATAAAGATCCATCAGTCTAGCACAGACTGAATCACATGGAAGTCCTTGCTGAATTCTGGAACGCATATTTTATTATGATTTTCAAATCCACCGTTCTGCTTGTATCCTTTTTTTGATAAAAAAGAAAAAAGAATGCTCGTCCTATCATATTTGACCTTGCCTTTTCTTTTCAAAGTAAAATTTTAAAAGTAAATTATAGTTTTGCTACATTTTATTTGGTTCTCGTCAAAATAAACTTGACTTTTTATACGTAAATGTAACTAATGTATGCCCTTCCCAAAAGGATTTATCCATAATATTCATAAACAGTTGGTTTTGCAATAGTCAAATAAGACTTTGCTGATATTATTGTTACAAACTTAAATTTGAGTACTCAAAATTTGATCTTCTATTAGGTTATATACACATACTTTTATAAATAAATTAGGTTAGACTAATTATTTTGAATATTCCTTCACAATAATTATGCTGTTAATTTCAGTCAAGAAAATACCAATTCAAATTCGAGACGATGTTATTGCATGGATGAGGATTATAAACTCTCCTGGTTTCATTCGTATTAGGTAAATATTTAATTGCTTCCAACTTTTATAATCTTATTTGATAACGCGATAATAACATGTTCATTATTTTAAAGTTTCACTAAACAAAATGAATCACAGTGTCGGGTTTAATATAATGTTAAAATATATACCAGCTCAACAGGAATTTTTTTTTTTTTTTCCTCAAGAGTATTTTAATTTAAATTTATATCACATTTCTTGACATTTGAATCCGACCTAACCAAAGATCAATCGCTACAGTATGTGTAACAGAGTTAATCTATTAATTATTTAGTATGATACTTAATTTATGTATTTAAGAGTTACCAATACCATCTCGAAAGATATGTATTTTGAATTTGAACACGTGAATGATTTAAATATTTATTTATTTAAAAGAATTATAAAAAATATTTTATTCGTCCATATTAAGCTTTTGATAAAGAGGTCAAACTATGTTGTCATGTTCAAAAAATCCGAGCACTACACATTCAAACTATTGGAGGAGTAATACAAGAGCAACAAAAGCTGTTTGAACAAATAGTAAAAATGAAGTCTAATAGAAATTGTACTGCTTTGATGCCAAATGAGTGATATATACACACACACACACACACACACATATATATATATCTTCATAAAAAGGTGAATTTACAAATACACCCATCTAACCTAAATCTAATTATAAGAATGTCTAATTATTACATTATAATTAGAAAAGTAGAGGTTAAAAATTTGACCTCTATTTTAATGTAAAAATAATATATTAAAAAGACGATGAAAGGAATCTCACTCACATTATTCATTGTCATGGAAATAAAATAAATTTTCTGTAATAAAATAATAGAAAATTTTATAATTATGGTTAAATTAATAACATATATTTGTAAATTATTCTAATATATATATATATATATAGATAGATATGGTGGGTGGTGTCTGGTATACCTTCGTGGGAAAGGAAAGGAGAGGAGAGGAGAGGAGAGGAGCACATGCACTGCCTAGTTAAAGAGAAAGTCAATGAGGTGCCCCTACGCTAATAGGACTGCCTTGGAAAACAATTTAATTAATTTAATCTTTATTAATTAATAGAATTAATTAACCTTAAACTCAAATTAATTAAAACTCCAAAGCAAATTATTTGCTTTGCTTTTTGAGCGTGTGATGAAAAAGGAACCAGTCACTTTATATACTTAGTTAATTTATTGTGGATTCCAAGCATGCCAAGCATAAACAGTAATAATATATATATATATATATATATATGCACTGATTGATTGAATATTACGAGAGGAGAAGTAATTAAAAGTAATTAGAAAAGAACAGAACAAGTGAGATATTCATGGAATCTCTTATATACCTCCACATATATATATATATATGTGTGTGTGTGTATGTGCCCATCTGATTTGAGACGACTCCCTTCTCAAACTTCACGTACAAATTGATTTGAGACTACTCGCTCCATCTCTCTATATATATACACACACCCACACACTCCAACATATTCATTAAGCTCTAATTTCTCCATTTATATATATACATATACATATACATATATATATATTCATTCACTACTGCTACTGATGCATCAACCAAAGGAACCAGATTACTCTTCTCCTCCCCAATTACCCACCAGGTAAACCTCTATTTCCTTATTTCATTTCAAGATTCTTTTTCCTGGTCATTTATGTATGTGTGTATTGATTTGACGGGATGAAATTTCAGGTGGTGGAGTAGGGAGATGACGGCGGTGGTGACGGGAGCTAACAAAGGGATAGGGTTTGCACTGGTGAGGAGGCTGGCGGAGATGGGATTAACGGTGATTTTAACCGCCAGAGACGACGGAAGAGGCAGGAAAGCCCTTGAATCTTTGAAGCAGGAAGGGTTTCATCATCGTCTCCATTTTTACTGCCTTGACGTATCTAATCCTACTTCCATCAATGCCTTTGTCTCTTGGTTCACCGCAAATTTTGCAGCGTTAGATATTCTTGTAAGTATATATTATATATATACACACGTATACTATACATGTATGAACATGATCATATACACATTATGTTCTATAATTGCTTGCTATTTTGAAGGTAGGCAATACTAGTTTATGCACATCTTGTTTTGGATGCATTGTATTCTATAGGGGATGCTTTATACACACACACACACACATATATATATATATATATTATAGGAAGCAAAATAGAGGCACCTTTTAATCTTATCAAAAGATTGAATATAAGCTATACAACTTTCATTTCTCTGCAACTGTGTTGGGTTGGTTATATACAATTATATACAAACAACTGTAGCATAATTGATAGATACCCATTCTTTTCTCAATATATATACATATATATATATATATATATGTAAACCCGTCCTTTCATGTGTTATGGTTTGAGATAATAATAATGTACGATAAAGTTCACATTCAAATATAAATGTATATACTTACCAAAAAGGATGTATTAATAAATTCTTCAGAAAATTAGTTAATTAAATATAATTACTACATAAACAAATTTGATTAATACAGTGATTAGTTACTAATTAATATCATACTGCAGATAAACAACGCTGCCGTTTCATTCAACGACATAGAGGAAAACACAGTAGATCACGCAGAGACAGTGATGAAGATCAACTTCTATGGCGCCAAGCTCCTCACCCAAGCTCTCTTACCTTTCTTTCGTCGTTCTCCTTCCGTCAGCCGCATTCTCAACATCACCTCCAGACTCGGCTCTATAAATGTCAAATCAATCCATCAATTTCCCTTTAATTATCCATCACATACAAATCGGATTAAAAGTTCTGACCATTTATGATCTAACTTGCAGAAAGTGAGAAACCCTAGAATCAAGCAAGTCCTGAGAGACGAGAATTTGAAGGAGGAGCACATCGACGGAATAGTCCAATTATTCCTGGAAAACGTCAAGGATGGGACATGGAGGAGCCAAGGGTGGCCGGAGATTTGGACGGAATACGCGGTGTCGAAGCTGGCGCTGAACGCGTACACGTGGGTTTTGGCGAAGAGGGAGGAGGGAAGGAGATTGAGTGTGAATTGCTTTTGCCCTGGATTTACTCAGACGGCAATGACCGGCGGCAGAGGGACTCATTCCGCGCAGGACGCCGCCGAAGTCGCCGCCAGCCTCGTCCTGCTTCCTCCCGAGAAGTTGCCAAGTGGGAAATTTTATATGGGTTTTGGACCTTTTAATAATATTAATTGTACTTATTCCAAGTTATAGATATATTAATTATATATCTACTGTCAGACATGATATTGTCCACGTAATGATAGTAATTCTAGAATTAATATTTTTAAAAAATTAATTAAAAAAAATTAGTATAATTAATTATTTATATTTTAATACGTTATCTCCTAACTAATTTATATACGAAACACGAAAATTTGATCAATTTTCTTTCATTTTTTCATAGTTTTAAATCTAACACACTACTGCATATATTAATCTACCAAACTTAATTTATACGTGACACGAAAACTTTGTCATTTTCTTTTACTTTCACATAACCCTAAATTTCTCACCTTCCACATTGCTCCCATGTCGTGTTTATATATTAGAGAGCAAGAGCAAGTTTGTAATGTATTGAGGACGACGATGGAGAGAATAAGGGTAGAGACGGGCACGATTTAGGTCGAGACAAATTTGTTTGTTTATTTTTGTACTTATCGTACTTAATTATATTCTTTATGTACATGGGCACGATTTAGGTCGAAACAAATTTGTTTGTTTATTTTTATACTCATCGTACTTAATTATATTCTTTATGTGCATCGCGTAAAAAAAAATTATACATTCATTAAGGCTCTACAAGCATGTGTTATTATCCATCACACACCTCGCTATAATTTTTAATTAATTATGTAAAAATATAATTTTAAAAAATAGTGAATGATAAAAAAAAATAATTTTACTTAATTAGCAAAAATAAATGTAATTTACATTTTTATTTTATATTTAAATAATTTTTAATATTAATATGATAAAATCTTTTTATATATAATATATTTACAATATTGTATTTATAGAGATATCAGTTGACAATAATTGATATATATACAAACATAAATACTATGTAGCAATGATTAAAAAAGTATTACGTAATAGAATTAATAATAAATTAATCAATTAAGTCGACAATTATTTGGAATAGAATTGAGAGAATATAATATATTTAAATATAAAACGAAATAAAACAGTATGTAAATTATTTATATATATATATATTTTAACGTAAAAAACTATATAAAAAATTAATCACAAATTAATATATAGTATAAATTATTAATATAAATAAGATAAGTTATTTAATTTTTTTTCACGTTGAATGTCTTATTAATTTATAGTTTTGATTTTAAAACCCAATTGCACGAGACCCATGTTAAAACGCACCGTTTAGCTCCTCTCGTGTCTGAGCTGGTCAAATCTTCCAGCCCGCACTCAATAGGACCGACTACGTAATCGTCGGGCTGAAAAAAAATTTACGGTAAGCAAATACTGGTTTGCCGTTTGTAGGGTTTTTAGGGTTTTGGGCTCAGTGTCTTCCTCGAATTGTCAACAATATTCAGGTTCTTCTTTACCCTTTTATTTGCTAATCATTATCTTCATCTTTTTCGATTATTGTATTTAATTTGATTTATTTCTCCTCTGTGTGGTTGCTGGATAAATGTAGAAAGAGCAAGGGACTCGCAAGTTTGATTAGATCCAAAAAGTTTGCCTTTTTTTTTTTTGGTTTTCTAATCTGATTATTCAATATTGTGGATACAAATCTACGCGATACCTAACTTTGAATATCAGAAACTTGGTTGTTGATTGAAAGGAGCAGATTGTTGATATAGAAGATCAGGACAGTAATTAGGAGTGAACTGGGTTCAGATTCGGAGAGGTTAGTTGGATGGGACTTGGCAATGAAAGCAGAAGTTCCTCTGTCGATACCCAACTTGGCAATCCAATTGGTTGTCTTCATAGCTAGGCCATACCTTCCTGGCACTCAGTTATGCTGACTACTAGTTCTGCCTGTTGCTATCCATGTCGATTATTTTGATGATGAGCTTTTTAATTTCTATGGAACAATATTGCAGTAGGTCATGAAGATGGGCGTGGGTGTGGCTGGTATTACAGAAAGATAGATGGGTTGGCTGGGGGCAGGGGAGAGGAGAATCTAAAGGAATTTAGGAGTAGAATGGAGTAGTTGGGGAGAGAGATCAAGAAGTCGGTAAGGCTGGGGCAGCAGGGAGAAAGAGGAAAGTAGTTGTGTGTGTGAAATGGCTTGAAATGTGTTGGTAAAACCATAGACAAAGCACATGTGTAGCTCAAAGAAAAGGCATTTGTTGCACACTGAATATTCAAATTTCTAGCCATACGCCATGATGAGTGATGGTATGTATGCAGGACATTTTACCAGTATTGATAGTGACAACCACAAATTTGGCCTACTCAAGAGAGCTTGGAGAAATCAAAACTTCAGTTAATTTCTTATATGAGAATTAAGATCTAAAGGGGTGATTGCTGTGAAAGAAGTCAACAAATTTCTTATAAATGGGGAAATTTATGTTGCTTATTTACTTGCATATCAGAAAAATGAAATCTTAATTGTAACTGATTTTTAACATAGTTGGGATTTGGATTTATTGAAGATTTTCCTCAGATAAGCTCAATGGAGTCATTTCTGGCAAAAGTTATTCATGATCCTCTCAAGTGCGTTTGAGTTCTTTGATGTGTTATTGTTCTTACAGTTGAATGCAAAGTTCACTTGTTCGGTGGAGAAATTATTGTTATATGAGCATATCATCCATTTTTGTAACAAGAATTCATGTCGGACCTTTTCTTTGGACGCTTACGTATATTTTGACATGGATAAATGTACTTCCGCTAGACATTCTGATGCATATATGTGATGGCAGGCACACTGTGTTCTTATATTCTTGAACTTTGCAACATTAGCATGTTAAGCCGGCGAGCGTTTGTTCTACAGCATTTTTGTCATCTTTTAAAACATGTAATTTAAGTAAAACATAGGGGTACTGGTAAATTTTCTGTCCTGGATAAAAAGATCCTTTTGTGGGTATCTAAAGACTCGAATGTACCATTAACTACAAAAGCTTGTCGGTGGAAGAAAGGGGATGTAGACCGTGGTTATCCAGAAAAAAAGCTCAAAATCTCCAAATTTTAGGATTCTGATGGGATTTCCACTTGCTCTGGATAATGAAATTCTTTTATGTTTGCTTAATAGGAAATAGGGCTTCCATTGTCTTGTTCTCATTTCAGTAATGTGTGTAGGGAAAATATCAGGACTAGGACCAATCAGCTATCATGATCCTTAACTGCTCATAAGTTTTATTTTGGGACAGACGATTTTGAGAAGCACCCTAATCTACTTCGTTTTGTTGAGTTAATTCGCAGCTTGTAGGCATTGACGCATTAAGCTGTGAGAAAAGCTTGTGAGATGGCTGGGTTTTTGGGATTCACTAACCTTTCACCAAAGACCAAGAATCTGGTAGTCGCTGGAGGCTTGACAGCATTTGTGTTTGGAGTCTATTTCTACACTATGAGAGCAGTTGGAGGAACAGATGAGCTTCAGGTAGCCATAGATAAATTCGAACAGCAGAAAAAGTATGAGGATGAGCGGAACTTGCCATCAAAAGCTTGATGCATGATCATAGTGTGATAATGTCAGAAGATAAACAAGGAGGTTAATTTTGCTGAGAGGCATCATTCTCATCCTTGTTTATGTTCTTCAAAATTAATTGTTCTTGCAGTTTAAATTTGTATTTTTTTTCTTGCCATGTATCTTGTCAGCCTTTCAAATGAATAAATTAGTTTAGAAGAAAGACTTGGAAGTCTTCTTAAATTTATGAACTAGAGTAATTGGCAATGAGCTTGATAAGGCAATCAATTTGCTAGTTGTATAGTCATTTACAGAGATATTCGATTCGCCTTTTGATGCGATAACAACATAGACTTTGAGGATCATTGTGATTCTTATAATGCATATCAAGTAACAATGTAAAACCAACTATTCTTACAGGATTCTAGAAAATATGGTTACTTCCAATTAAATTGAAGATATCATTTTGTCACAAGGATTCAATTCAATGGTATTAAAAAAATTGTCAAAATACTAAATTGATCATTATTCAAATCATAAAAAGGCAGATTAAATCTCCACTGCAGGCATGAGCTTTGCGGAACAGATCATGTCCTTTGTAAAAAATGTTGAACCACAGTAAGGGTTCATAAGCATTGTAACAACACCCCTCCTGATTCAATCACTTATGGAAAAGGTAGCCTTCATTCTTTGAACAAAATGGGGCAGCGAATTAATGTTTTCTTCGATTGATTGATTCACGCATGACTCCAAATTGGTCATAGCATCAGTTTTAGCCTGTTGGAGCTTGGCTGCCTCAAACTTATCTTGACAGACCATGAGTGATCTGTTCAACCTTTCCTACATTCATTGTGATTGAACAAAAGATTAATATAAATGCTTATCAATTTGCTATGTCATAATATTACATGCGCATTTTAATCTAAAAGAATGTTTAGCTCACATAATTATATATAACAAATGCAGAAACAGAGCTAACCAAAAAGTAAAGAGCAAATTTGAGAACCAATTGCAACATAATCCATGTTTTGTGGACTCAAATGATGATTTACCTAAAACTAAATCTGTTCTAGTACACCATCTCTCCCCTCGATTCTGACACTGTTTATGATGTTACATGAACTAACCTAGCCAACTGCAACTGCAACTGCAACTGCAATGGTTCCTTTTTATAAGAACTATTCTTTTCATAGCAGTTTGAATAAAATGCCTCTTACTCTATATAGCAAAATGGTAGAGAACTGAGGCTAACCTGAAAGAAAACTAATGGACTATTGCTTTGTGAACATTACTTGTAAGACACGACTGAAAAGTATTTCTTCAGGGGGAAAAAAAGATGTACTTCGGCTTGTTTCATACAAGGATACATATATTTACAAGGTTCCTCTAGGAAAGAAGATAATAGTGCAGCAGGTGGATGAATGATTAAACCCAATATCATTGAATAACTTGACCCGCTTTGACAAGAGAGCTCAGACCAAACTCATGATCAACACAGAATTCCTCTAACCTAAAACTTTTTTCAATCAAATTCAAATCCTACATACTCTGATCTTCAAAGCCAAAATTGTAGTTGTTTGACCTCTCAAAAGATTATTTTCTTAATCTTCAACTATACAGTAGGATTGTTATGTTTCTCTCATTCTTCTCCCCCAAAGGTTTATGATGAAATTCATTTTATATAATGTTTCTTCTTTCTTAGTTAGACAACTTTTGAGAAATAGTACAAATCAAGCAACAATTGATTAGGAGCAGGGAGCAACAACTCTGGACCTTGTAAACTTTAATGAGACTGTAAGATTTATTTACAACCTTTTCTTCAAAACTTACTAATAAATTTTTGAAAAGAAAATTCTGCAGACACAGGGGATTCTCAGAGACAAAACTAAGGGCAAAAGAATCACAAGAAAGAGGTGCTCTGAAAGCAGATTCTACCATCCTACAGGACTTGATTCCTCTCAGGTCCAAAACTGTTAAATAAAATAAATAAATACCCCTATTGAGATTCCATTTGTTTGATCCAGTAATATACCTAAGAGGCACCATATCAACCCCAGTTTTAATAGTACTAAAGTTATTAGTGTTCAGAGTACAACTTGGTTATAATCCAAGAACTTGCTAATGAATGATTATATATCCACCCAAATTATAATCAAGGTGTAGAAACACTAACAATTTTATCACCTAAATGAACAGCAGAACACTAGGTTGGCACACATGAAATAGTTCCTCCTATACGTCCAAGAAGATAATTTCAAATTATCAAAGGCTTTATTTCAGTGGGAATATTTAGTCTAAAGTTAACCCATGAAGCTTTACATTTTCCAGATACATTTCATATATATCTTCTTTTTTTACTCCCCCAGAAAATGGCTTTGTAAAAAAAAAATCCTCGAAATAAACCATGCGAGAGTAGGACATAAACTTACTTGAAACTTGGACATCTCATTCTCAAACTGATGCTGAGCATTCACCACAGGAACACTGCAATTTTCAACACAGTTACTTATCTCTTCTTGCTTTCTTCTCCGGTCAAAGCACTCATACGCACACTTGAAGTATGCTTGCTGCAAAATATATATATATATACTTTTTAACCTCATGAACACAGTCCATTAAATATACTCGAATTTGACCATAAAAATGAAGAATAGCAACAAAAAGGAAAAGCACAAACGAAAAGTGAATTTGAAGGTGTTGGTATCATCACCAAACTGAGCCTAGTACTTGCATTTATCTTCCCAAATACTAAATTCAAATAATGAATTGCTTCAGTTTCCGTTTGTAAATAAACCTCATAAGCAAAGAACAATAAGAAACCCTAAAAATCCAAATTTCAATCTATGAGCATGTAGAGAGAGAGAGAGAGAGAGAGAGAGAGAGAGGAGACCTGAAGGGTGAAATTGATGTGGTCCTGGATCGGAGAAAGCTGGGACTGAGCAGCTAAATTCACCTCGTTCAGTTTTCTTCTCAGTCTCTCCGTTACCATTTGCTCTTCCACAGCTGCGATGTGATCCATTTTTCCCCTGAGATTTCTCTGTTCGCAGAGGTCAACGAACTGTGTAGGTTTATAGGGTTTTTGGTGAATGGAAGATGAATCAATTCAATGGGGCTTTAGGGTTTATCGTTACACGTGTTACTTTTCGGGTCACGAGAACAAACTCAGGCTTGGTCCATTAAAACCCGGATCCGGCCCGTTTATGCACACGAATACGCGCGCTACCTTAGCGCGTGAGCAGCAGTGCTTTATGCTTTCTTTCCATCTCCGTTCGCAGAATCTTCCAAGCAAATTCCTCGAGAGGTTTCTGTTTCCCTGTGAAATGTAGGGGAGAAGGAAACAAATTACGGAAGGAATAAGAAAATGAGAGAAGACAGCTCAGTATGCAGCGCCGTCCCGAATCTCCTCTCCTCGTTTATAGACACCTTCGTCGATTTCTCAGTCAGTGACATATTCTTACCTCAAAACGCTAACCCTAACCCTCTACCGTCACCTCCGGATTTGCAGACGAGGTACCCGACTCCCGAGCGTCTGATTGCTATCGGAGATCTCCACGGAGATTTCGACAAGTCCAAGCAAGCATTTAGGATCGCCGGCTTGATCGACGCCTCCGATAAATGGATTGGGGGTTCTACCACCGTCGTTCAAATCGGCGACGTGCTGGACCGTGGCGGGAACGAACTCAAAATCCTATATTTCATCGAGAAGTTGAAGCGAGAGGCGGCGAAAACCGGAGGTAAGATAATAACGATGAATGGTAACCATGAGATTATGAATATGGAAGGTGATTTTCGGTTTGTGACGAAAGAGGGTTTGGATGAATTTAGGGTTTGGGCTGACTGGTACTGCTTAGGGAACAAGATGAAGGGAATGTGTCGCGGGTTAGACAAACCAAAGGATCCTTTTGATGGAATTCCTCTGGTTTTTCGCGGCGTTAGAAAAGAGTATCTAGACGGAATCAGAGCTAGAATTGCTGCGTTGAGACCAGAAGGACCGATTTCCCGCCGGTTCTTCACAGACAATGTGACTGTCCTGGTAGTTGGAGACTCCATTTTTGTCCATGGAGGTCTCTTGCCAGAACATGTGGAGTACGGACTGGAGAGGATCAATCAAGAAGTAAGGAACTGGATTAATGGATCGAATGGAAAACGAGCTCCGGTACATTGCAGAGGGAGAGATGGAGTGGTTTGGGTAAGGAGATTCTCCCGCGAACAGGCTGAGAACTGTGACTGTTCAGCTCTTGAACATGTGCTTGCCACAGTTCCTGGGGTGAAGAGGATGATCATGGGACACACAATTCAGGAGTCTGGCATTAATGGTGCTTGCAATAACAGAGCTATAAGGATTGATGTGGGTATGTCTAGCGGGTGCGGTAATGGCTTGCCGGAGGTTTTGGAGATTGACCGGAACTCGGGATTGCAGGTGCTGACATCGAATACTATATATCAGAACAAGTATAATTTGGGTGTTGATGGTGAAAAAGGTCTGGGATTGTTGGCACCAGAACACGCACCTAAACAAGTAGAAGTGAAAGCTTAAGGAGGTATACTTTAGATCATTTCTTGATTCTCAGAATGACACTTTGGATTAAAATCTTTAAAAAAAAAAAAAAGACTTTTATTCGAGTACAATCGGATTAACTTAAGTATTCCATCCAAAAAAGATTCTTGTATTTCTTGTCTTGAAGCTATTAAACCTTTATGTAATCTTTTACTTTTAGGATTTCGAGATTGAATGATATTGTTTGGCAAGTGCTAGAACTAAAGAATAAAAGATTTTAATCTTTTTTTTTATCTTTGTACAAGGATCTGGGCATATATCAAGTTAGAATTATTTCATTTTGGTAGATCTGACAATATCCCTTTTACCCGGTGGAAAGGTTGGTTCTTCTGAACTCAATGTATGTCTTTAGGAGTGTAGGAATTTCTTGTTCTATGCTCATTGGGTATTTCATTGAGTGTTCATATGATGTATGTAACCGATTTTAGGGTTAAATTCTTTGGTGAGAGTATTTGAATTTAGGGTAAGTTTCATGTTTGAACTAATTTTAGGATTGAATTGTTTGAAAATAACAAACCCTTTGCAAGGCTTTTGTAACCAGATGCTGAGAAAATAGCAGGCAATACAATGAATGCTGTAGAGAAAAACTTATGAGAAAACAACTTAGCATTTTGTTTCTATAGATATGCACAGTAGGAGTAAGTTAAGAATATTATAAATTCATTAACTTGGCATGGGGTGGATCCCTTGAAAAATGTATAAAGATTTATCAAGTCAGAAGTCAAGATTTACCAAATTCTTGAAGAAATAAGAGAAAATGAACATGAGAAGGGTCAGAGATGGCTGGCCATTTTGGTCTGACCTGGATTCACAAATAAGAAAATTGGGAACAAGAAATCATAATAATTAAAAAAAAAAAAAAAAAATTACATAAAATTTCCCACATGAAATTATAATTTTCTCATAATTTTTATCAATTTTTTATTAAACAAATATGAATTTGCTATTTGGATTTTTTGTTATTATTATTATTATTATTTTTTCACAATTGGGATAAGATTGAAATTTTAAGAGGGACATAACATGTATAAATGTTTGTATAAGAAATCAATTATGTAATTATGAATGTGATGTGTTCTATTGGTGATTAACTACTTAATTTATTTACGTACATCAATTGTTTTATATTTGGATTTTATTATTTTCGTCTAGTTAATTTATAATTTTAATTTAATAAAATTAAAAATTTATTATATTATATTAAACGAAATAAATATTCTATAATTGGCCACGTGTAGATAGATATCATAGTTTAAATGTAATACTCCCCTGTCTCCGCATCCTTGCTGAACACGTAAACGGTATTTAGGGTAAATCAAACACGCACACACATATATATATATATATATAGTGTGAGAGAGAGAGAGAGTCCTCTAAGATACCTGGAGTGTATATACAGTCGTTTATTATCCATATTCTGATACTCCATAGCTCGCGCAACCCTAATTCGGCGCTTCTCCTTCTCCAGTCTCCGTCGTCTTCTCTTCTCATTCAAAGACGTAAGCCAGAAGTTCTTCTTCTCTCTTTCGTTGTTCTTGATTGTTGAATTTTCACGTGCAGTTCCAATTACTCGGTAAAAGACATAGCTTTCCAATTTTCCAGCATGTTATGTATTTTTTACGGTTTCTAGGGTTCAGTTTTTACGCAGTTGATTTCAGAATTAGGATTCAGTTCCCGAACCGTGTGATGGAGGCGGTTCGGTTTCTAGATTCATAAGTCGAGAATATTATCGTTGGCTTTCCGAACGCAACTTTTATAACAAACAGAATAAAAACTAAACATAATTTCTCAGAGGACCGTTCCTAAATTCTGCTGGATCTATTTGTTTGAGTACTATTTTTTATAACAAAGTCTTCCGGGATGATGTAAGATGAAAATCAGTTTGAAACTTTCGAATTCATGGACCAGAAGATGGTGATATACTGTTAGCTTTTATGCTTTCTGTTTCAATTTCAAGTGTACATCTGCAAACAAACGGGGATAGATTGTTAGATTCTTACCTTTTATGCTTTATGCAGACATGGATTCTCAGATAAAGCTTGCTGTGGTGGTGAAGGTCATGGGTCGAACAGGGTCCCGAGGGCAGGTGACTCAGGTTAGAGTCAAGTTTTTGGATGATCAGAATCGGTTCATCATAAGAAACGTCAAGGGACCAGTCAGAGAAGGGGACGTGCTCACTCTGCTTGAGTCTGAGAGGGAAGCTAGGAGGTTGCGGTAAAATGGGTCCATTAAGAATCAGTCTTTCTCTTGTTTTTTGTAGCAGCAGCCACTGGTTGTTTGAGTCTTGGCCTAGTTTCTCGTGTCTAGAGTTGAATTATTAGATGGATTGTACTTACGGAGGTATGCTTAAGGCTTTTTGGTATGGAAAATTAATTCTTGTCTTAGCTACCTTTCTCTGCTTGCACCTTTTCTTAACCCATTATGCTGAAATTAGTAATTGAATTAAAGTTAAGTTGCTGGTGGGATAATCTATATGAATCCCAACACGCAAAGAATGAAAGAAAAAATGGATAATTCAGCAGAATATTTGGGTAATTGAAGAGAGATGGAAAAGAATCTATTGAAAAACTAAACTCAAATCTCTCGTCGAACTACAGAAATCTCTGCGATCTGGTTTAAGCTCTGAAACCAGAGAAGTAGGATTTAGAGAGAGTGAAGAAAGCAAGACTTCGGGTTGAGGAAAGAGAAGAGAATGAGAGTCAATGCAATTCATTAATTAGCCTTCAGCGTTTATACACATGAGGGTAATTACCTTAATTACCAGCTAATTACAACTAATCATACAATTAAAAGCTAATTACACTTGATTCATTTAACCAACCCTCCAACTACAGTTATCTTCTAAATAACTACAGTTATTTCTAATCATCATCGTTTCTAATCAGCTAGAGCTACATCCATCTCTAATAGAGTCTAATAGAGAAGGGTGACAAACTATACATATTCTTGTAGAGAAAAATAAGTGCACTATTTTCATCATGCAATGGTTAGAAGTTAAAATAAATATAAATTCTAAATCAAGAAGAAACTTTGTAATAGATTCAGAGGTTTGTATGAATAAGAGTGTCTCCTCAATGTGAAGAAATAGTTCGTACACAAAATTTTTCCAAACATAAGCTAAATGCATTTGTAGTGTTTATTGAATTTGAAGAAATCATACCAAGTAGCAAGGAAAGGTTTTGAAGAAACAAAAATCCTCAAGGATTTTGAGTTCTGCTTATTTTCTGTGTCAACTATGCTGGAGATGATGACAAAATCTTCAACCCTTTACCCCGAGTAATCTCCAAAACCTCTGGCAAGCGATTTCCGCAGCCTCTAGACATTCCGACATCAATCCTTATCGCCTTGCCATCGCATTCATCATTGATTCTCTTTTGCGGCGTGTGTCCCATGATCATCCTCTGCACCCCCGGAACGGTAGTGAGCAGATGTTCAAGAGCTGAACAATCACTCTTCTTCACCTTTTTAACAGAAAACTTCCTCATCCACACTACACCATCTTCTCCACAATGCTCCGGAGCAAGTCCTCCCCCCAATCCATTCATCCAATCTTTCACTTCCTCATTTATCCTGTCTAATCCATAATCAAGATGCTTAGACGACAGACCTCCATGGACAAAAATGGAGTCCCCGATTACCAACACAGTCGCATTATTCGACAAGAACCTCCGAGTAATTGGACCTCCCGGTCTCAGTGCTGCAATTCTTGCTCTTACTCCATCAACCAATTCTTCTCTAATTCCTGGCAAAACTGATGGAATCCCCTCATAAATGTCCTTAGGTTTTTCTAACCCTACACACAGTCCCTTCATCCTGTTCCCCATACAATACCAATCCGCCCATTTCTTGAATTCCTTCAAACTATCTGCCGTTGTAAACTTGAAATTACCATCTACATTCAGTAATTCATGGTTCCCGTTCATCGTTATTATCTTACCTCCACTCCTCGCTGCCTCTCGCTTCAATTTCTCCAGGAAATACAGGATTTGGATCTCCTCTCCGCCGCGATCCAGCACGTCCCCTACCTGGACAACCGTCGTTGACCCTCCGATCCACCGATCGAAGCCATCAATCAATCCCCCTATCCTGAATGCCTCCTTCGTCTTCTCCAAATCTCCGTGAACATCTCCGATCGCAATCAGACGATCGGGAGCTGGCATCTCCGTCTTCCAATCATTGAGTTTAGCAACGTTCTTATCAGAATCGAGATAAGAGCTTTTGAGCATGAAGCAGCCACTTACAGAAAAATCGACGAATGTGTCTACGAATGATGAAAGGAGGTTTGGAACTACTTTGCATACCGCATCGTCTCCCATTTTCTTCGTCCTTCCGTCTCGTCTTCTCCTCGGACGAATGACCTAGTGATCTGTGTGGACTTTTTAACTCCGCCGAGAGGAGAATAAGACTTGAGACGCGCTCTGAGAAAGCGCGTCAACGGCAGATCAGATTCTTGTATGGATGGCGCGTGTCTGTTTTAAATACTTTTATTTATTAAACTAAATTGTAAATAATAACAAAATTATGAATTAATACATATTAATGAGATTGTATATTCAATTAATTTATATATTTTATTATATATAATAATAAATAAATAAATAATGAGACTGTGTGTGCGCAGAAAGAAATATATATATATATATGTACATTTATAATTAATTAATTAAATAAACGATGGCAAAAGTATAAATAAAATTAATTTTTAAATTAATTTAAGATAAATATGAAATTAAAAAATAATAATAAGAATATAAATAGAAGCGAAATTTTTATAAAAGTGAATAAAATTACAATTTAAATAAATATTTATTAATTTTTAAAAATTTTACCTTAATAAAAATTATAATCATTTTATTATATAATAAAAATTAATTATATCAAACTCCAACTTTATTACATCCGAGGTCAATTTTACAAGAATAATTCGGGCCCAAGTGCCAAGTTTCAGGTTCAGAGGGGCAGTTAGGTAATTTCATTTAGAATCGAACTAGGGTTAGGGTTTCGCTTATGAATCTATATATAACACCATCTCCCTCTCGCTGCCTCTCAACCTCTCTGAATAGAAGCTCTCTTGGTTTGTGTTTCTCCAACTTTTTTTTTTTTTTTTTTTTTTTTTTTCACATCTCATCGTTGATTTTTTATCATCTTTTCAAAATCGATTACTGTGTCTGGCTGAGGGGAAAATGAAGAGAAAGCCAATTTGCAGAGCAAGGGCGTCAAATCAAAATGGCGCGATTTGCATTGAAGGTTGGCGAAAGTGAAAAGCGATTCTCCGTGCCTGTCAAAAAATTCCATTTTGATCACGGCCTCGAACAAATCGCTACATTCCTTCTTCTTATTCTCTTCTTTACCAGATCGTCTGCCCTAGTCGTTAGCGGATGTGGGGATTCAGACGTACTCGTTTCCGATTTCTGAAGAAGAGGGATTCAATCGAAGAACAGCGTTTGATTGTTATAATATTTTAATCGTAAAAAAGTATTACGTTAAAACTAAATAATAATATTTAATTAAATCAAAACCCAAAACTAAATCTCCAATCGCGTGTTTACCATCTCGTGAACATTACAATTATAACGAAAGCATTTTGACCGAACCTAAAGTTTCAGTAATTTTAATTTTATTAAAATATTAATATCCGATAAAATTTTTATTTTTTAGTATTAATAAAATATAAAGTTTAGAGAATTATTTTATGTTATAAGATCTATATTTTACACTTAAAAATAAATAATTTTTATATTATTTTTTGGGGTGATAAATAATTTGTATGGTTGTTTTTATAAAGTAAATATATTTTTTATTAAAATTATTTTACCTGAAAAAATTATATCACTCGCATCATAAGCAGAATCCCTGATGTTTGGGACCACCGACGATGTACACCGTTGCTAAACGTTCCCCATCCAGTTATATTTTCTTCTATCCCATTTCCCTAATTGTTCATAATAACCATTCCCAGTTCTTCCATTTTCGACAGTCTCCGATAATAAATCGGACCGAGAACTAGTTAAAATAGATCGGATTGTATTGTTTTACTTGTGATTCAAACTAAACAATGTTTAACCAGTCGTCTGATTTTCAATCCCGACACGCCCTAATCGCGAATTTGTCATCAAATGATTTATGCCAAAAACTACAATGTCCCACCTGAGTCAAATTCTGTTTGTTTTCCAGCGTAAAACAAGTCAAAAATGCCAGACACTATCAAAATTTTCTCAAAATATAATGTTAGTTTTCGGAAGAAAGAAAAAAAGAAGAAAAAAGAGAGGCTATTATTTGATGTAAAGAAGAAACAAAAGTAGACAGAAGATAGGGTGGCTTTTGAAACCTACAAGTTTGACGGACATGTTTCTTCTTCATATGAGCTATAGCTAGCTTGCTCCTTCCATATTACCAAAATTGCCACCAAATATTGTTTTTGCTTACACTTCAAAGAACAAAAGAAACAAAGCTCATACAAGACACCATAATTCTTTTAGAAAAAAGAAAACAACAAAACACAAACAACAAAACTACAGCTGCTCCTAACCACTTCATAATCTAACGACATTCACGCAAAGAGAAACAACTGTATCTACATCCCATCCCAACAACTATAATACTAGTTGTTATCCTCGTACCATTAACCCAACAACTAACCGGAACCCGGCAACGTTTTTCAACCTGTGTTTTTTATATTCTTCATTGCTCACGGGAAGAGGAGACCTGAGAGAGTGAAACCGGAGGACCACCCTCTTGTTGCACTTAAAGCAGCACTTCTCTGTCGTATATCCAGCTGAAAGGGACTTTCGGTGCCTGTTTAGCTCTTCCTTGAGCTCTTTCCTCCAGCTTCCTGATTCTAGGAGGTAGTCCGCAAACGTACTCCTGTGCTTTCCGCCCATCTCCTGAAAGTCCAGTCAGATTCTCAACCTTCCACCTACCCACCAAGAATTCCAGTATATCTGCATAGTCTTTTGCAGTGTAGACCCCTAGTCGCTGAGCAACAGCTGAGTAGTGCTCAAAAAGATTATAATCATTCCCGTCATACATTAAGTGCGCTGGCATAGAGATCTTCTTCCTCATCATGTCAGCAAAAGCTATGACTGTCCCATCAGATCAATCTCAAGGAGCTTTTCTACTATCTTGGTGTAGGCAGTCTCGTGGCGCTTCTCATCCGAGGCAATTGTACCACAATTTGAGCTAATTTGATGTCCCCGTGATCC